TCGCTGAATGATCGCGTATACCGGCCCCGCGCGTGAAATTTATCTCGTTCCGCCGCGCGTCCGCAGCCTCAATAAATAGATCTCTCGATATTCACTCGATTTTAAATGTAAATAGACCAAAAATCACGAATGCTTCTCCATCCGATGGCAACGGAGCTCTTTGCGAATCTATGAACATACACGTTAAAATAGATACACATAGTGTTCGCGACCTAAATAGACGGTCCCCTGTCGACCGCGTGTACCTTGCCTAATTTCCTAGCGACTGGCAAATATGTGCTTCTAATTACCATCGATATTAATTACATGTTTGCCGGCGCGAATCATTTTATTAGAGGGACGCATGGAAACTCAAGTTGAATTTCCGCGTGACCGGGAACTGGGAACGCTCTGACTCCGTCGCTCTTTCTCTCTTCCTCTTTTCTGATCAGAGCAGAGGCAAAGCTAAAAAGCAGAAACTTCAAACGATCGCCCCTTTAATCGATTAAACGCGCGTGATTGCACGTGTCGAACGACCCTAATGAACGTACCACCACGTTTCTTTCGCTTCTTCTTGAAAAAAGGATGAAAGGAAGAGAAGAAAAAATGGAAATCCGCAGTAGGCTGACGTTTCTACAATTTGTCAGGAATTCGTTCCAATTTTTTGCCGCCCTCAAAGAGACGCGAAACCACGGCGGAAAGATTAAAATTTTTTGAGAAAAAATGGTGCACACGCGTATATGCAGTAGCTAGGTCGCGGAAATTGCGTGTGCATCGATGGAAGACCAGAAAGGAACCGAGCTGAGTTGCATCCTTTGTAGAGAGCCGAGCAAATTCAAAAGATGCGGTTCGAGCTTTTGCAAACCTCATAAACCGGAGTCACATGAAACGCATCTTTTAAGTATTGAATTGTAAATAATACACCCGACTTCCTTTCGAATAACGTCAGAGCTGTCTCAAAGCAACTATTTTTATATCCATCGTCTGTTTTTTTTAAATTTCGCTCTCACAGCCACGATATCAAAAATCGGGATTCGGCAACGTGTATTGTTTGAAAGAAATTTTAAATGAAATATTGCTTCCAAGTCACGTTGCTCTTTAATGCATTAATGAAAATGGTTATTTTAATCACAGAAATTAATTTATCATAGTACTGTAATAAAAATATTTCAGCTTCACCACGTTGCGTAAAATCGTAACTAGATGGAATAATAATTAATAAAAAAAAAGTATTAAAATTCCCTGTCGGAACTACGATATTAAAGAAATATTAAAAAGAATTCAATAACGTAAATTATTCGAGAATGAATTAAAAAAATGTATATTGCGTTGGAACAACAAAGTCGATTCATAATGGAAGTAGTTATTCAATCAGAGAATATGAAAAATGTTTAAGGTGACAACAGGTTCCAGGAGGAACACTGGTATAACGAAAGTACCGGTGTAAGAGTGATTCTATTGTGTTTGGTGGTTTTGACTAAAGGTTTATTGCATGTGCCAACTTTGACAGAGGTCTTTATCCAACGAACGCGAGGCATTTATCGCGTTGCCCTCCGACAGTGTACAGTCTCTCCCGTTGCCTGAGCTTTTTAACAATGTCCTGAGCGACTTACGGGCCTGGCCGCTTTAACTTACAATCAGTATTCGCTTTGAAGTAGCCCGCATACTTATCGCTTTGATTGACGTCCCCTTTTCGTGGTGCTACTAAGCGAGAAGCATATTTACATGAAAATAAATGCACCTTGTGCCGGGGTCTGGCCACGGGGTTACGTCATGGTAGAGGAAGGGAAAGAATGATCGAAACGAATTCGGCTTGAACCGCCGCGAAATTAAACCCAAACAACGAAAATGAATATTTCGCCGTTCCTGCGATCCTCATTCCACCGGCCCACCTACTAAAATTATTCAGTTTATATAATAAGATTTTTCAATCCTCTTTTTTGCCGTATTATTATTAGATTGTTGTGCATTCGTCGGATATTTAAATATTAAAAAATACATAAAATGAACATAATTTACAAAAATATATAAGATGTTCCAACTAATCTACTATATTTAATAGATGAAACAAGTCTGTATTTAAATTCCACTCTTTTAATTATATTCGTAAAAATGTGAAATTGCATAGGTATTTGCAGTATATGTATTATGAAAAATACTAAGCACAGAGAAGAGGAAGCGTTAAAATATATGTATATTATTAAGAAATTGTTCTGACGGGATAAATTTCGTAATTCGACTTAAAACTCAGCAATAAATCGAAGGAGTAAGCCGCACGAAATAGACCAATCATGATTTCTTATCAACGTCGATCTTTAATAACGAGAACGAATAATATTGCTCATTTATTTTCCGTCTAACAATCTACCTGACACGACGATGAATCTGAAAAAACAAGTTTTCGCTTAAAACTGACTCGTAACAATGATTTAGACGCAACTGTCAGTTTGGATTTTTAATTCATTTAATTTACATCGAGTGTTAAAACGAAAAGTTGTAGTGGCACGAAGCTTTAAACGAAGATGTTCCACAGACAGTTATACAGGCGGTATTTTTATCTGGCGTGCAGAATCACGTAACGAATCGATTAAACGCGTTACGAAGTGAATCTGCATCCCGAAAAAGATACGTCGACGACTTAATATAAAGTGACACAACCTGTCCACTGTGTTATACGAAATAATAGCGAGTATCTGCTATGCACACCAATACTATTCGATTTTTAAATGATAATTTCAAACCTTTCAATCACAAATTATTTAACTATTTGCCTTCTATTGTATAATAAATAAGCAATTCATAAAAATATACAAAAATCGTTTACGAATCAATAAAATAAAACATTGATGAAAACTACTTAGCCTACTCAGATTACTTAGATTACTCCTACTATCGTTAGTTCTCAACTATCCCATTAAATTATTGCATACTAAATATTGTTTCGTTAAAATACAGTATAAAAGTATCACAGTTTCCTTTCAAATGGAAATTTTTGATCAAAGTAGAACTTTCCGAATTAACACACCTCACAATATATCTTTTTATGTCTGTGCTTTAAAAATATCCCTTTATGCTATGTTTCAAAAATCGTCGTGTCTCTTACGCGGGTTATAAAATCTCTAAAACAAGATTCCGTAGGAATATTCTTTATAATATTGCTACTACTGCTACTATAGGAACAAAAGGCATATCAAAGAAAATGAAAATTAATTCGTCGACATATCGTTTCTCCAAATAATCTGATCGCAAGGAAATCAACACAACTGTTGGATCTCTCAACAAGAAAGAAGAAAGTAACATCGAGTATATCGTGGAACCGGAGAAAGACATTAACGAAGTTCCTCGTTGAATAAACGTGTTGTCGCAGCACGGTCGCGAAAAAAGGTACAAAGAAAACGGTTATTATGATAGCCGGAAGGTTCGATCGAGTAAATAGCAGCAAACAAACTTATCGTAAAATCATGATTCGCGATCGTGTTTTGCACATAATAGCCGTCATAGCCGGCATACGACACTGAAAATAACGCGGAAAACCGCATGTAGAAACCGCTGGCCGGCCGACTGTGTATTGTCTGACAAATATAGTCGCGGCCATAGGACGCTGCACTTATATATTTACATATCATTCGCGTCGATCGCATTGTACGATACGTAGGCCACGGTGTTCGATGTTAATTTATAGCCGTTGATTTTATGATCGGCCAGTAGCAACTGGAAGCAAAAGAATTTCTAATCCGGTCGACTAGCTACGCGTGCATGCAAACAGACGAACGATATTTATTTTGATTAAACGTTATATAGATAACGGAACAGATTTACTCGGCTAGCGAGTTTCATAAATCGTAGAACCACGAGGTCACTGGCATTATTAGCCAAATGTGTCATTTATTACCTGGACAATCAAAATTCCAGGGAATATTAATTACTATTAGACTACGGACCCTTCTGCGTTTATAAGAATTTTAAAAACGACAAAAGTGCTAGAGTTAGGATAGAATGCAGTTGATTCATTTGACGCATTTCATAATATTCAGTACGCAAATTTTAGAAGCAATTCTCCATCTAGATCACGTCTTTTTAATTACTAGATTGTTCGTTATAGGTCGTTGTTCTTTTCAAGCACGTTATATCGAAGTACACTCTTTTAAGCATTAAATGACCTCGGAATCAGCAAAGTTGTAGATATTTTACAATAGAATATGATATAATGGGAATCGGTATCGGTCGAAATAATCGCGTGAACAATTCGCACTACCGCGTTTTTTTCATTTCCTTGAGCCTTGAACCACCGGTGAGGTTCGTGCATCGGATCCGATTCACGGTTTTAATTAAAATCACTGAAAAAGGAAAAGGTGAACGCTGACGTATGACGTCCGATGGAAACGAATAGCGTGCGTCGGTGACAGGCTATGGGACAGAATGGCGGCGCTTATCAATCGAAAAAATCAGATGCATCGAATTAAAAAAGGGATTGAAAGCTCGTGAAATCTGATGACACAGCCATTAGTCACGGTCCTTCCGAGAGGCATTAGCTCGGGCCTTGTTACACATCGAGCGAATTTCGGAAAGGTTCGACCGGTTCCAAGAGCGAAACATAAGCTCATACGTTCTGACGGCGGTCGCATAAGTGTATCGCGTGTGGGTGTACACGTGCTGACACACAACTACACGAATATAGGGAGATACACGTACGAGAAAACACAAACGCGAGCTATCTAGGCTGAACCTTTCGAGGTTGACTTCTTGAGACACTGGAGCGGAAACACGAGACGTATAGCATGGGCTCCACGAGGCGAGTTAATCCCTTGAGACAACTGGGAGCCACGGTGTGGAATGGGAATACCAAGGGAAACCTGGTGGTGTATTCTCATTCGCTACTCGACAATGTTATTATTACGCTCCCTCGTCCGCATTACGCGGATAATTTATGTCAGTCTTTACGTATAGCGTAACGCGCGCAACTTGTCCTTTTCACGTGTATATGCGCATCCGTGCGCGTAATAAATGCATATAATACTCACCCATCGTTGTAATCATTCAGTCGCGTGATAAACACTCGGATGTTTCGCCAACCGCCATTCCCTGCGTGTCTCCTCTCTTTCTTCCATGTGAATCCAGGAGAACATCTTGGAATCATTCGCATTAGATTCGCATTATAATCCTGCGTCGTTTCGCTAACTCGATACTAAGCTCTGTTCGCGTCCACAGTGCTCTCCGAAACGAATTCATCTTGTCCGGAAGGCACTCTGAAATTTTATATTGCAAAGGAAGAAAGTGAGTAATCATTGCGGAGAAGGAAGGTGAAATTTCAAAGAAGAGAGGAATATTTGCGGAAAGGAGGGATAGAAGAATTCATTGTTATTCGAGTCTTTATTCCGCGTTTACCTATCATTACCCGGAATCATGCACGTACCACCACTACAAGTACGGATAATTAAAATTCTTCAAGCGTAACTCACTCGTGAAACGAGCCCTTTCCATCTTTTCGTTTATTATCCATACTCCCTTTGATTCACTTCGCACGAGCGAATTTATTCTAACTTGCTCCGCCATGGCATCTATACGTAACACGCGTCTATTTGCGAACGCCACGATTATTCTTATACGGGGAGCAGTCGCTGACTGGCACCACGCGATATTATTTCATGTGTTTAGGCGTCAACAGGATCGTAAATAGCTACGTAGGACGTATATATCAGCCCTTGTTTACATCAACTGTGCGTTTACTACGAATCGAGCTATGAGAATCGACGATTCTCCCCTTCCACTTATTTCTCCATCTTTGTATTATATTATACAACAACACGGGAAATACGTTTCGTATTACGGTAAGTCTCAACGCGAACAAAAGATCGCTACTACTTCCGTATAACGTGATTCAGAAAATAACAATGACAGTGAAATATATGTTTGTTTTGAGAATATGTAATATTTAAAGAAATATTTGCAAATGCACTGAAATAAAAAATGATGTACGTTAATAATGGTTTATATCTTCCCCTAAGTTAAAGGATTTTTAACAATAAAAAGTTTTTATAAAACTTATAAAATTAGCAAAACTATCAAAGCAGGCAGCAGAGTTAAGAAACTTCAAACTAATTTAATTTAAATCTGACTGTGACTTAAAAATAACAGTTGAATTTTAATTCATATCAGATTGATCGAAAGATCTTATAAACTCAATTTAAGAACTCAAAATATATCGAGCAAAAGGTTTCTCATTTCCCAAGAGATTCTGAGTTGTCCATTCTATTGGAAGTTTCTCTCCGTTAAAGATTCAAAATACATCTACCAAAAATTTCATTTTCTCAAAGATTCTCAATTTTCTATTCCAAATTAAATGTCCTCGCTCTAATAAAATTGCACGTTCCAAAATCCCTGTTCTCGAAAGTCCACTTCTAATAACAAAAAGAAAAAACAGAAAGAAACGTCACCTCTAGAAATAAATCATCCAGAATGAGTAAACAATAGAAGCAACAAAAATTGCATTCGCTCTCCAAATTCGCATGATTCATTGATTCGCGGAAATTCAAAGTACAATTATTGAATGACGACCCACTCAAATCAAGGGTTAAGTATCCCATTAACCCAAGGTTGCAAGTCGCAACAAAGCGTTTTCAAACGCGATCCACGAAGATCGAGGCAATTTCTTAACAGCCTGTTGCGAATATTCCATTCTACAAAGTATCCACTGCAATCAATCATGGATAAATTAAAGGTGACTGGATAAACATTTTAGAATCGAGGCAAACGACTTTTCCAGCGAAAAGCGCGCGTTTCTCAGCCGATCCTCCATCTGGCAAGAACCGCGAGAGCTAACCGGTGCTTTTCGTAGCCGTATAATTCGCCCGTGTTGAATGTAAATTTATCCCTCCCCTCCCTCCCAAGGGGTTATACTGTCCTCGTCTACGGCTCTGTGCTCGCGTGACTATGACCACGGCCACGAGCGAATTTATACTGAAACCACCAAAACGTGACAACGAGCGGGAAACGTTGTTGACGACTGGTCGTGGAGGAGGGCAACAGGGGAAAGAGACGAGTCTTAAATTCACATTAAACATTCATCGGGATAGAGCTCGCTGACAGCAGGCCGATGGAACGGAGATACGGGCATTCCTGATCGAGCTAATGCGATACTGAAACTGGTCGAGGTCTTTCGAGCTCTGTCGGACTTTTTCTTTTGTTCGGCTTCCCTCTAACCTCGAACGCTTGTTTTCACGTGACTCGATCAAAAAATTCTTTTCGTTCGTGGAGAATAAAAACCAGACTCGTTAAAAATATATTTATTTCATTATAGGCTGCCTGGCTTTCGCGAACACGTACGCTCCTGCGTTATCACCTTTTCTATGGACTAAAAACGCGGATAAAATGTAAATGGTAGAACAGGGTAGCTTTTTGCAGAACTGTACCGACGTTGTTAGTTGAAATTTTACGAGCTGGCAATGCTAACAAATTCTTTCACATAAGAGTGACGAGTTTGCTAATACAATGAAATTGTATAAAATTCCTATTGGATATAAAGTTGTGAGCATTTTTTGTTCAAGCACTAAGTTTGGTTCTGCAACTTATCCCAACGAACATATAATTTGATTGAACCTTATTGAGTAACAATGGAAAAGTGGAAACTACGATTTATTCACTATTCAAAAATATTCAACTTCACAAAGTGGATAGGAACAGGTACTTGGTAGTTTTGGAGTATTTAAATTTAAGGCATCTTTAAACAACGAGATATAAAAAATTTACCCTATAAATACAAGCGTCTCTTTGTTGTACAGAATATTTGAAAACTGGTTAGCGAGAAAAAGAATCGAATAAAGATCCAGAGAGACACGCGATGTTATGAAATTTTCGGGCCAACAATTTAGGAAGAACTGTAAAGGGTAGGAAATATTTTACGGAGAAATGGAAATTGAAGTACCGACTGAATAGAGGTCTTCCTCTGGAATACTGGTATTAAAAACTGGCATCCCTTCGTGAATTTATCTACGCACGATGTCCGCCGCGCGTAATTGATACGAACCGATGTTTCGACAAAAATACCAAATAGCTAGCAATCCCTTTGGATACCTGCATGATTGAACATTCGATATCGCTTTCCACTGCTAAAATGACTCGAAATGCAATGTGCATTGATATTTCCGTTCGGTTACAAATATTTCTCCGAAATCAAAGGTATACATACACGTAAACGTGAAAGTATACCTGTATCAAAAGTATTTGCACAGATCACCTTTCCTTGTCAAATCCTGCGTAAATTTGTGAAGAATGTGATTTTATGCTCGATCTTTTTGTAAAATATAATTTTCAATCTTTCACTAAGAAATAATTGTTATAACGATCTCAAGCCTTGAAATCATTACGTAAAATCTATCCTCTGAATAACTGTAATAAAGACAAGAAATTGGATAGTCAGATGCTTCCCGGGTACAATCAGCGCATATTGGGGCCATTTTACAAGACCACATTATGTGTCCGGTACTTTATGGTTAAAACCTTATGAACGTATCACAAAAATTTTACAAGACACGAAATTTCTGTTTCTATCGCGATTCCTGCATCCCTTTTACGTTTCCTCTTCGTGGCGTAGTGTATCGAGCTTAGAATAACTTTATGCTAGTAATTTTATATCTCGCCATTCAAAACTTATAATTTATGACGAAATTGGATAAAGGAATCCTATGTCTCACAGAATTACAGAGAATTTTACAGGGAAGTGTAATCTGTGCTCGATACTTTCGTTCGTCGGCGTATTTGACACATTGGAAACACGTTCGGCGCGAGAACGATATAAGAGAGAAACTCCGTGATAAAAACGTTCCATGGCAACCATCTCGAAATTAAAACCGCGCGTTAGCCTGAAAGCGATTATAAGTACACCTGGAACGTAATAACAGCGATCAACATCTTGAGGGAAAGTAATTCTTAATATGGACGAACGGATAAGAAACGACTCGGTTCATATATTATTCGTAGCCGTAACGTGTTCAGAAACGATCCAACGATGTTGGTAAAGCTCACGTCCATGACGACTGAAGCGTGTAATGACGAGATGTGAGCTATCATAAGAATGTAATATCAAGGCTCGGATACGTGGCGACAAATATCACGTGCAGCAAACACAAAGAACGCGAGAAAGACGAGCAAAACAGGCCGAACGGTTCAGATGGATAAACTCGTTGCACAGATCGTTTAGCGCATCGCCCGCGGCTTTTTCTGATTGCTTCTCTGCCTTCTTCAGCCGTGATATTATACCGAGCAATTGAATTTCTTACACCCCACTAAGTACTCAACGCTCCCAACCGTTTCCATCCTTCCTCCTCTAGATCATTTCTCTCTCTCTCTCTCTCTCTCTTTCTCTCTCTCTCTCTCTCTCTCTCTCTCTCTCTTTCCCGCTTCTCTCTTTTCCCATACATTGCACCCATTGAATTTAAGCAATCGAAATTTTAGAACCGCTAGCCAGTGTCGATATCCCGCCACACAAACGAGAATTGGAAGTAATTTCGAGGCCAACCAAGAGAAAATAAAAATCACGACTTAACCTTTAGGTCTTAAGGTCCTCGATCTTATTACGTACCGTCTTTAAAGCCTGATCCACGTGTACGATCGAGATGTTGCCCGGCTTAACAGCTTGATCTGCGAAAACTGATGAACATGTGGCTGTTACTGTTTTTTTGTACGATTCGAGAGTTTATTGAGAATCTTCCACGAATCTTATCTTTAAATTCTTCTTTCGCATATCTGTACAAGCGAACGAATTATTTCGCCACGATACGTTGTTCATTAGATGAAATGTATCTCAAGTATGTTTTCATTGAAACGTGAAGTATCTTATCCACGAACTAAATCATATAATAATGTATACGCAGTATATACATATATACTATATGTTAAATCTGTATATATAATACAAATTATTACTCACAGCTGACATCTCATCTGAACTAAAATTTTATTGCTTTCCATATAATAAAAAAAATTGAGAATAGTTCCTACTCGCGCAAGATTCTTTCGTCCACGATTTAACAGCACGAAAACGTATACTCTTCACCGAGCTAAAAGAACAACTGTTCAAACGTGACACGTACAGCATAATGCCCCGTTATAAAATTGATCCTTTAAATACATCATGGACCGAAGTGTCTCTCCCCTAGAAGCGTTAATCGCGCCTCGAGAATCTCGTATCCCATGGAAGAACGCACAAAAATAGTAACGCTCGTTTTCGTCGGGGACCGTGGCGATGTTT